GTATACAACAAAACTTACAAAAACATCAAACTTGTGTTCTCTTTCTGTTTGATGTTCTGTTTAGTTTAACAGAAAATCCTTATTCAGATTTATAGGACTGATTAAATTCAGGGTTGTACAATAAAACACTCATTTAAATTATAATGTAATAACTTACCAAAGTTTTTTTGTTTTGGTTCTTCGTAAAACCAAACCAAGCAAAATTATAGTTTTTAAAAGACTCCATTTGTTTTTATTGCTTCTGTCCGTAATTTCTTTTGAGTAGTTGTATTTCAGTTATCTTCTATGAACGTAACTGCTTCAGTGTCCCAGTTTTAATGCATTAAATGAAAAATATTATACCAATAAGACAATCAGTCTATGATTACATTCTAGTTAATTGCAAATGGTATAACGAAATAGACGCCTCAATTATATGAGATCAGAAAAAAAATGTATTTCGTATGATTAATACGGTACAAAGATATTCATCTAAAAGAATTTCTAAGGATACACACTATCTATCTATCTGACTCTATCTTTATGTACCACATTTTAAGGTAATAAAAAATGTTTTCTTGTTCTTGAAACACGCTAGGTACCATATAGATCTGAATACTGGATACATATTGATATTTTTAGACGGTGCTAGGGAGCGCGATAAAGGTAGTATTTTATATCCCCTCTCGTAAACAGAGTCAATTCAGCTGAGTCTGTAATTGTCGCCTAGATGTTAAAGGGTTTATTCCACTGTTATTAAGGTACTATAGTATCAACATAACCTCGAATTTTCATACCATCCTTTAATATTACTTAATTTTATTCGAATAATTTAATACTTCTATAAATAAATTCCATATTAAATTTAATTTGATAGAAACCAGTAGAGGATATTAAAACCGCTTATATGTTAACTCATTTCGAATATTTGTTTTACTTTTCTTTAACATTATGTACGGCATTTTATTTATCTTTGTATTACATTTAATAAGAAACCCCCTTGAAATTCTTTAATATAATGCAATTACATCGCTTGCAACATGTAATATTATTCAGTATCATTATTTAGATTGTTTACATAGGGACATAGATCGCTTTTATATCTACGTAAAAATAAGAAAATTATCAGTAACGCCAAAGTTACCTCTGTTAAAGATATGAAATAAACCGTATACCAAAAGAAATAATAAAATGTTGTTCAATACGTTGCCGAAAAGGCAACACAAAACATATATGTACATGTATATCTGCGAATTTTTACATGTTAGGCATATATTCTCTCTATTTTGTTGCTTTTTATGAGAAATCGTGTCCTAAATTATAGCTACGTTATATGACGTGATTTTTTATTGAGAACATAGGAAAAATAAACTTGTCTAATGGATTGATTCGCTATGTCTGGAAAAAATATAAAATAGGGAAACTTCTTTCCTCCTGTCACACAATACATATTTAACGTGAATGTTCAATTTTTCTTAGAAGCTTGATAATGAATAGTTACTTGGGATGCCTTATGTCATTGGTAGAGATATTTATTTATCGTTGCCATTTAACTTAACTCTACGTAATTATAATGCGTTGATGCGTTATAAATGTTTATTTTTGCTTTACCAGTAGAGGTCTAAAAATAGTTGATTGGCGTACAAGACAAATAGGAAATAAAAAAGAATTGCAATATATTATGATTTTTTTTAGATCATAAATTAACCTATTTAAGGTAATATATTTTTCATGCCGTTTATTTTACCTATGAGACCAGGTACATCTTCAATAATCGGGTACTCATAAAAAGAGTGTGCAATATATTTCACGATGTGCAATATATTTCATGATGGCCAAGAATATTTCTTTAAAATGAATCCAAATGAAACCGAAAAATGATGAAGAAAGCAAATATTATTTGTATTACAAACAGTATAATGTTATACAGTGGAACTTTGCTTATCCAAACAATTCTAATACAGAATCCTTCTTAATACGATCTAATTCCCTGGCCCTATATACTTTTCAACCTTTTCTCAAGAAAAGGGAAACCTATCGAATTCGGAAAAACTTTATTCTTCTATCTTTTGACGACTTTTTTAATTTAATTTGGATTTGACAATCAATGACAATGAAACCATGAAATCAACCGATCATTACAATTACCGTTTCATAGAATTGTCGTCCTTTCCTCAAAATAAGAATCACACCTTTACCCTTTACCGATGTAAGCAATGAATGTTCCTGTGTATTGTAGGTAATGTAATATTCAGAGCATCATTGTATATCACTCAACTCAACTAGCAGTTGAGATATGATTGGCGATTGTCCTATTATTCAAAAGCTACGGTTTTAAAACAAACAAAATCTATACTATTTTCTTCAATATTTTGTTTTACTTAATTTCCCAAGCAGAAAGAAAAACGATACGAAATTACGAAAACATATACTTACGCCGCCGGTGTATTAATAAATCAACGAGTAACGCTTGAGTACGAATTTCAGAAACAATAATGATATCAATCTGGGCATTCGTGACGAAAAACAATCAAAACTAAGAATATTTGTTGTGTTTCATAGACTGAAATATCAAGTGTCACAAATGATATCTTGTTTATTTGTCTACTGACAGAATATAATACATAACAGACAACAGATATTGTATGAAGTTAGGAAACCACCATTTTATTCTTTATATGGAGAAAAGATTTGTTTCTTTGACTGTCTAATATATTCATTTTGAGGGCATTTACAGAATAATGACTGAAAAATTCAAAACTAAGAAAACGAAAATTTTGCCTGTGTCTCCCTTTAAAGCCGCTTGTATGTTAACACATTTCGAATATTTGTTTTACTTTTCTTCAACATTATTTTCGGCATTTTATTTATCTTTGTATTACATTTAATAAGAAACCGCCTTGAAATTCATTAGTATAATGCAATTACATCAATTGCAACATGTTTGTTTGTTTCATTTTACGCCTTTTTTCAACAGAATTTCAGTCATATAGGCGGGTAGTTTCCTAACTATCGTTCCTGGAGAGTTACACCAGTACTAGACTACCTTCCTCCTCGCTAAACTACTAAAGCATATCCCGGGAATCGAACCCACGCCAGAGAGGTACTGGATTAGAAGCCATCGACTTCAACAGACCACGGAGGCGGTTCAACATGTAATATCTTTCGATTGTTTACATAAGGACATATATCGTTTTTATTTCTACGGACCGGAAAAATAAGAAAAAGTAAAATAAAAAGTAACCGTCTGTTAAAGATATGAAATAAACCATATACCAAAAGAGATAATAAAATGTTGTGCAATACGTTGCATAAAAGCAACACAAAACATATATGTACATGCATATGTAAGAATTCTTACATGTTAGGTATATCTCTATTTCGTTGCTTTTTATGAGAAATCGTGGCCTAAATTATAGCTACGTTATATGACGTGATTTTTTATTGAGAACATAGGAAAAATAAACTTGTCTAATGGATTGATTCGCTATGTCTGGAAAAAATATAAAATAGACAAACTTCTTTCCTCCTGTCACACAATACATATTTAACGTGAATGTTCAATTTTTCTTAGAAGCTTAAGAATGAATAGTTACTTGGTATGCCTTATGTCATTGGCAGAAATATTTATTTAATCATAATGCGTTGCGTTGATGCGTTGTAAATGTTTATTTTTGCTTTACCAGCAGATGTCAAAACATAGTTGATTGGCGTATTAGACAAGTAGGCAATAAAAGAATTGCAATATATATTGTAACCTTTTTTTAAATCATAAATTAACCTAATTTAGGTTATATATTTTTCATGCCGTTTATTTTACCTATGAGACCAGGTACAGCTTCAATAATCGGGTACTCATAAAAAGAGTGTGCAATATATTTCACGATGTGCAATATATTTCATGATGACCAAGACTATTTCTTTAAAATGAATCCAAATAACACCGAAAAATGATGAAAAAAGCAAATATTATTTATATTACAAACAGTATAATGTTATACAGTGGAACCTTGCTAATCCGACCAATTCTAATTCAGATTCCTACTTAATACGACCTAATTCCCTGGCCCCATATACTTTTCAACCTATTCTCAATGAAAGGAAAACCTATCGAATCCGCAACTGCTTTCTTCTTCTATCCCTTGACGATTTTTAAATTTAATTTGGATTTTTGACAATCAATGACAATGAAACCATGAAATCAACCTTTCACAATTATCTGTTCATCGAGTTGCCGTCCTCTCCTTTAAATAAGAATCACACCTTAACCCTTTACCGGTGTAAGCAATGAATGTTGCTGTGTGTTGTACGTAATGTAATATTCAGATCATCATTGTATATCTCTCAACTCAACTAGCAGTTGAAATATGATTGACAATTTTCCTATTATTCAAACGCTAAGGTTTAAAACAAACAAAATCTATACTATTTTCTTCAATATTTGTTTTACTTAATTTCCCAAGCAGAAAGAAAAACGATACGAAATTACGAAAACATATACTAACGCCGCCGGTGTATTAATAAATCAACGAGTAACGCTTGAGTACGAAAGCATTTCAGAAACAATAATGATATCAATCTGGGCATTCGTGACGAAAAACAATCAAAACTAAGAATATTTGTTGTGTTTCATAGACTGAAATATCAAGTGTCACAAATGATATCTTGTTTATTTGTCTACTGACAGAATATAATACATAACAGGCAACAGATATTGTATGAACTCAATATTTCACAGCAGACGATAGTAATTGCTTCTACTCTTGTTAAACATCTGCTTAGCATACGATATTCTTGGTCAGCGGTAACATAAAAGTCACGCTAATATAGAACTAATATCAACAAAGCAAAATAAATTATGAGAAAATTTTGACTAGTTAGAAAACAAAGAACTTTAAGACGCTTTTCATATGCCGCTTTTCATGGAATGGCACGAAAGTGTCAAAGATCCATTATATCCGCCGTATGAACACATCTGTATATGTTTCTAAATTCAAAATGTCACATTTTTCATGTTATGTTTAAATCTTGAGTTCTGCATAAGCCGGTGCTAGGGAACGGCGACGGTAGTTTACACTTGACAGTACCGTCCATGAAGAGGCTCAATCAAACCGAACATGCAACATTTTCAGTTTTGCCGTTTTGGATATTCTTAAGGGAGTCTAATTTTCTCTAGTTTATGCAATTCATATAATTTTCAAAAGACATGATTAATATTTTGTATAAAAAGAATTTAAGTGTTAAATTTGATGTACTTTATATATATACTATGTCTAAAGACTGAATACTAAAATGAACTAGTTAAAACGCTTCGTTTGTTACCATACTTGTATTCTACCATTCTAATTCGTTTTCCAAGTATAAATGTTGTTTTTTTCTGTCATTGATAAAAAATATTTCATAATGTGAATATTTTTTTGTTTGTTTTGTTTGCAAATGTTTTTCTCTTCACACTGGAAAACGTTAAGTAGGTAACTTAAATAAAGTTGCGTTTGTCGTTATTTTGTTTCCAAAAAAATATGTTCCAACCGTCATCAATTTCCCAGGGTGACATTCACTATCTCCACCATAATATAACACATTGTAAAAATATCAAAATCACATAGAAATATTGGCCGGTGAAAATTATTGGCTTTCCTGACGAGTTGCATCCGTTAAATTTGCACGTTTTAAAACAAACTTTCATCTGGCTTTCATGTACAGTAATATATTCACACGATTCTGGCATTGATGCTGGACTACAGTCACGGGTAATTCTCACCAAAGTATCTGTCAATGATAAAATATAATGTTAAAGAAAAGAGAATATTATGTTTAAGATGAGAAAATATAATGTTTAAGTTCTGATTAAAGGGATTCCACAAAGTTTTTATGGCATGACGTCGACGTGACTGGATATATATATTGTGTACCGTTTGATGTATCTCTGGACTAGTAACTTGTGTGCACATTTTCAGATCATTCCCTTTTCCGGTTTTTTTTCCTGAATACTCATTTTATTGCACAAATTTTATTTGTGTTGTATTTGAATTGTATTTTATTGTGTAATGACACAAAAAGTAAAAACATTGAAACGCTCTGCACTCAAATCGATCTAATAAATGCAAAACAAAGACATATTCAAGTTAATTCTAAGTTAGTTTGTCTTTTACCCTTTGCAGATTTTTCCAATTAAAGTGCTTGACTTGATCTATAAGAATTTCAAATTTTAGGTTTTTAGGCGTTTTTGACCTTAGTGATAGGAGAATATAATGTTTAAGTAGTGATTAAGATAAGAATATATAATGTTTAAGATTGGAGAGGAAACTAAAATATAATATTTAGAAAAAAAGTGTGTTTACGATAAATGTACAAATTGATGGCAGCTAAACATACAATTTTAGAGAAAAAAAGAAAAATATTATCAAAAGGAAATAAACTCTCACCGTTAATATATCTTCTTTCTGTAATGCAGTACTCTACTATGTGGTACTGGGCACATTCATATGTTTCTTTGTCAAAATGTCCGCACAATGTACAATTTACAGGACTTGGAGGGTTTTCCATACAGAAAGGGTCTATGTCGCTGTCACATTGGGAGCACATCACACCTGAAGCTGTGATATCAAACAAGAACAATATATTATATGTATGATAATCAAACTGTATAACTGAAATACAAAACAGTTTATTATGTGAACATGTTTTATGCTATAATATTCTTTTCTTTAAAGGATGAACGTTCATACATCAGGAAATATGTGTGCTTTTCACACACACAAAAAACCTCCGCTTTTGAAATAATATTTTTTAAGATACACATTCCGATGTATCAATTAATGTTATTTTGCTTCCTTTATTTTGTGTAAAATAGTGTAAAATTACTTGCAGTGCATTGATAAAACGTTTGATTATTCAACGAGAACTCCCAATTCTCAGTTATAGCACATACATATATAATTAGAAAACACTAATCTAACTAACATTAGCTATAGAAAGCTTAAACTACGGAAAGTGAATCAATAACTAATTTATTTCCACAGAAATGACGCTGTATATAACAGTTTGATGCATGACAATTACATTTTATCTTTCATACAATTCCATAATGTACTGACATAAACATACTCTTAACAAGTTATAAATTTACCCATATAAGAACAGATCGACATGATCAAATCAATAAACGTTGAAAAAAAACTTAACATTGTCATAAATACAAAACATTCAAATTAGATTTTGCTGAAGTATTTTATAAAACGTTTACCGAAAGATAGATAGTTTTCATCATATTATTCCTATTGGTTTTGTCTATTTAGGCCCCATGTATCAACTGTTTTGTTATACTGAACCGACAGTTTTCTTAGATAGATTCAAGATTCAAGAGTTTATTCAGCATTAACATACAATGTGATCATAGCTATATACATATGGTATAATGTGCATGTAATATGACAAGAAAACAAACAAACAAACAACAATATAAAATACAGAAGGGAAAACCAAAAAACAAATCATAAATATAATTATTGAGAAATTTATAAAGAAATAGTTATAATATTGTTTTTAATAAACAGCCATATTTATTGATTATACGTATCTCGTTTACATGTACGTAGGTATAAATACGTTGCCAGTTCTTTCATAATACTTTTTGGCCATATGTCGTATATTTCTAAATTTCCGGATACTGGGCCAAGAACAGTAATAATTATAAAGGCAACGGTATCTTATTTCTTATAAAAGACACGCACTAGTGTAAAATAATACTCATTTTCAACTACATTCATGTTACAACGTAAACAAATTCGTTCAGGTCTTAGAATATTCCTCATAAATACGGTATCTTCCCATGTTTATGAATTCTGTGTCTGTCTTTTATAGCCAGCTAAGCTGCTTTCGCAGACTTCATCATGATTATTTTTTGAATGAAGCAGCAACAGAAATAATGACAGAAAGTTTCTCAGAAAATTTAATTACCTTTATTGAATGAGAAATAAATATACTCCAAGAAGATCACGAATTTACAAAAAAACTGATGCTGAAAGTAACGAAGTCATGTTTTGGGACTGAAGGAAATTTTTTGAACATTGAAAAGAATTTGACAATTCTGTCTAAGTAAATAATAATTCCAAACACATAAACTGAAACTTAATTGTTTTGAAGATATGATTGGTGCTTATTAAGAAAGTTTTATATATAAATATATAGTGATAAAATGAACCAATAACATGTTATGAAGACTAACTGTATTAGATAATTATCATACATCATACAGAATCTAAAATGTGTCTACTTATAATTCGCTAGAAGTACATTATATCATACGCTTTCTAGATATTTATACTCACAACAGCAGGTGTGAAGTGCTGTGTGTGACAGCTGTACAAGTTGCCCCGTACTGAGAGTTTTTATTGTTCTGGTCCAATACTTAATTGTGTTGAAGTTTAGGCGGTGATACTGGCGTGATAAATGTTACATATTTAAAGGTCCATTAAGTACCAAAAATGCTTTGATTAGAAAAATTATTTTGATGTCCAGTTAAAGTTTCTGAAAATTTCTTATGGGCCATCTTAAGCTTCTTGCTTCTTTTGTGTTTTAAAAGTTAGTACAGTAATATTTATTTTGTATTTTACCAATTCGTTTCCTTTGAATCATTTGTCTAGGACTATTTCACATTCAGCGCTATTTCTTCTAAGTGACAAACATCTCAAATGTTCCGAATGCCTTTTTGAAACATTATAAAACACACATTTGCCCTTTCTACAGACAGCCAAAATATTTATTTCTAAGGCTTAAGTTTAATTATCTCTCATTAATAAAACGAGTCTGCAACTTTCACCTTTTAACTTTGTTTTCATTACTGGGATTCCCCATTTCCAGATTTTTTACTCCTAACCATTTACTTCAGGATTTATTTATATTCGTAAATTAATCAGCTTACACTCACGTACCAAATTCTTATTTTTTATGGAACCACTTTAGAATCCTAAAGCGTAACATTATCTATATTCCGCTTTATTTAAATCATTTCAAACAAACCGTGACAAAAAAGGTTTTGTATATATTATAGTGTATATGTACTTGTTGAAAATGTAATATGATCTCTATTTTTAAACTTTTACGGAATGCTGTCGTAAAACGGTCTAATAAATTACTCTTCTGAAGTACGCTTTATTCATGCAAGATCATTGTATATACGTGTGGTATTAGTTTGATAATTTGAACCTTTACTTATCTCCTAAAGTCGATTATGCCCCAATTTTTTTTTTTATTTCTCAAATCCTTTAATGTCATGGTACAACTTCTGAACAATTATCAAATCGCCATAACAAATAGCTGAAACATCTATTTCTTCTTTTGCTGTTTGGCAATAATTATAGATATATTGATTTAGCATTTTGCATGGAAGTTAAATAACCACGATGCTTACATATATTTAAAGTGACACTATGACCATCCAAAGTGAGTGAACAAGTGAAAGTCAAAAGAAGCTTACATTTTGCCATGATTCCCTTCAATTCATTATTTACTTGCAATCAAGATAAATAACTTGTTAAGGAAATTTCTATAGAATTAATATCCATCGGAAATTACATGTAACGTTCAATTTATAAAAAGAGTGGGCGGTCATATTTTAGGCAGGAAACATTTTTTAATATCAACTGTTGCTCATTCACCATTATAACATAAATCTTTTAAAATATATAGGTTATTCAGCTTGACAATGAGAAAATGAGCATAATGCAACTTGTAACAATTCACATTCAGTGCTTTTTACTGACCTTTATAGAAACCTAATGTCTTAAATCGATTGTTAAACAATAGAAAACACATCTTTTCCAAAAACATAGATATTCATTTCTTAGTCATTATGTAAAAAAAACCTTGTTCTAAATACATTTATATTTATTAACATTCCATTTATCGTTTTGGAAAAAAAAAGAAATACTAACTTTGTTTTAAAAATCCAATAAGTAAAGAATATATCAATAATTCCATTCGTCAGTAGAATTTATATAATTGCATGTGTTTGCACATTTTACCCCGTTCACAGTGCTTTAATTGAGTTCAAATATTTCTGGCAGAAAGTTCTTAATTAATCTGAAATCCTCCCTACAGCAAGCGAAGTCTTCTGTAATACTAGATTATAGTCTTCAAAGGGTAGAGAAAAACCAATACTTGTGGAAAGTACGCCCTGAGCCATGTATCGGCTTCTTTAACAGCATTCAATATGTTGTAGCGTTTTTTATTTCTTCTCAAATGTAATATCACTGATCAACTGTAACAAAATTGCTTTTGAATTATAGATGATTAGAGGTATTTTGATTGTTTCAAAATTGTTGCGCTCATCTTTTGGAATGAGAATAAGCGTTAAAGTATTAAACGATTAGCTTTGAATTGTATGGAATTAGAGCAATCATTTTGTCTGTTGCAAATAAATTGCATGTTTAAAATAACATGTATTTTATTTGATATCTGTAAAGGAAATGAATAAATTTCTGAAATCTTCTGACATATGTATTTAAATAACAATGTTTGCCAAAAAGATCCAAACATTACTGTCGTCTGCTGCGTTATACAGAATTATTATGGTATGTTGCCTCGTATGTATCCATATACTGTGAAAAGACAAATATACACTATCTCAAATCTAACTTGACAGATGATATGGAAGTTATGGAACTCAAGACAAATTCTTTCATAATATTTGTTCCATAACTAAAGTGGTTTGTCCGTTATTGCGTCAGTACTCGTAAGCGTGCGTATGTGTACGTGTGCTTGTACGTGTGTGTGTTGGTTTTGTATATTATGACGGCTTTCACCTTTTATCAGTTTAATCAATGTAGAGAAGTAGAAATTGATTGGTTTTAAATTAGCAGTAAACATTTAACACAAATATTTTTTGTTGCCTGAATTCTCAAATATTAACAAGATAACATAAGATAATAATAAGTTTTTATTGGTCGCCATATATGTCTGGAACTTTATTCTCCGATACAATATTTATTGTAAAAGGCAGAAGTTTCTTCATTTAAGAATTATCTATGCTTTATTAATTATGAGGTTTGTTATATAAACACTTTTGTTAAATAAACACAGACATTTTTGATGTGCTACAAGATAATGATAATACTAATCTATATGTATTATTACTATACTTTCCTAGTACTTAATACTTTGTTGCAACTTCTTTGAAGTAAGCATTTGCACATTAAATATCAAACACAAATTATTTTTAGTTCTGCTATTTACAGCTTCATCCAATCAATTATGTAATGATATTAAATTTAATCTCTGAACGTTCATAGCAAGTCAATATGATATAAAACAATCAAATCAATACATATCAAATTGAAAAGCTTTTAGATAACTGTTTATTATGTTATTTTCTTGAATCAGATGTTTAATTTGACATTGATTCAAACGAATGAATACAACAGCATTATAAGTTTATCTTGAAGTGTAATCTTGCATAATCATATATTATTATTGCTTGCAAAATATGTTAATGTGTGCAATTTAGTGACAATGTCTGTAAAGTATTTAGATTAATGTTTTAGATATGATTCAACTGATCTGAAATTGAATATATCTCGCTATTTCACTTTCTATTAGGACGGCCATAACATTATGTTGTTTGTTTCTTTATTGAAAATTGTGTTGTCCTTGTTGTTGTTGTTCTTGTTGTTGAAGATGATGGTGATGATGATTTGTTCTTGTTATTTCAAAGGGGCATGTTGAATATTCCATTGGCTTTCGTCTGACATTTTTCATAGATTGTGATCGAGAGACATGGACCTCAATTATCCCATGCTTTTGTTTTTATTATCAATAGAATACAACAAATTATTTCAAAAAATATATATATTTGATAATATGTTTATGCTTTTAAGCTTTTTTACCCCAGTTGAGCTACTTTATGGTTCTTTTAGCAATGATATTCTGTGTTAATATTTCATATCATATTCACGCCGTATAAATTGATAATTCTGGCTAAAAGCATGGCTATTCCTTATTGCTAAATAAGCGTTGTTGTTGTTGCTGCTGTTATTGTAAAGCGGTTATTGTACAGATAAGGATGCTTTATGAATAATATTTATCACACGACTTAACATAGGGGAAAAAGGATCGGTAATATTGACAACCGTGAAAATTGTGCTGTTAATAAAAGTAGGAAAACAATCGATTTGTACGCATAACTGCCATCTGTATAGTGTCATATTAATTTTTGTTCTCCTCTGCTATTTGTAAAATAAATGATACAAAATAACTAATGGGAAACTTACTTTATTTGCTTTTTACCAATGTCTTTACTTTTTCTCTAGTAAACTGGTAAACAAACATGTCTTTTGGAACGAAAAATATGGAACGAAAAATATGGAACGAAAAAGTGGTTTTCTATATATAAATTTAAGAAAAGGTTTTCATTTAGCAAATATGTTTTATATATATTGTTGAGTTAATGTATATACGGTAATATTGTGCCTGATATGTAAAAAGTTTTGTCCATAAAGTAACAGAAACAGTTATACACATGGTGAATTTATACATGAGAAATGCATATTTCATAACTAAAAATACAAAAAGAAAGTACATATTCTCTATTGTCTTCATCAATAATTATTATTTTTAGATTGCCGTGAAATAATTAGTGTCGATTTATTGTAAATCCTTAATAATTTATTAAATATCGGTGCAATTTCATTCTCTTAGAAAACTTCTTCATTTAAATCTTCACTTTTTAAATTCATTTTACTGATTCCAAGACGTTTTTTAATGACAGCAACAAGTTTAATAATACAACGGTAATAAAATTACTATAAACTTTTCTTTATATGTCATCTATAATTAATTGTTTCCAAAATATTTATATCAACTGTCTGCTTTAGTAGTTTGCAAATTCTATATATATTAATTTTAGATCTATTTTTACAAACACATTTATCAATTCTGTAAAGGAGTGAGCAGGACTGTATTATAACATTTGATGTTATTCTTTTGTAGTTTCCGCTTAAACTTTCTTACAAAATGCATATCATTATCCATTTTTTTCAAATTTTAATTAATTTTAAGTTTCAAAATGAAAATTATTTTTATATACAGGTGATGTTATTTGATTTCATAATAAAATAACATTAGAAATTAACATAATTAACTTCATTCCCACTGAAGACAGCGTAACACGTATTTTTGTGAACGGTTAATAGATTAAGATGATCTCGGACATATAGACAGTCGAAGAATCTGACAACCTGGAATATTGAGTCCTTAATTGAAGTTATAGATCATCCATCAGCGACTGACAACGTTTCAGACATATGATCTATTGTATGTCAAGTGAAGAGATGGTCAATATCATTGGGGGAATAGGCTGATGAATGCATGAAATGAGTCTGCCATAAGCCTCGCAGATATAGTTAAGTGCCGTTTTATGGCTAACAACTTTTGTTGATTGTATATATCGATATGTTTGTTGCATGTTTAGACTAAATTACAGACAAATGTCACGTTTTATTGTTACAGTGCAAATAAGTCATTATTATTTCTAAATGTTATGAAATATAAAGAGATAGCAAAGTGATACATGTATATCAACTAGACCATTTTATAGAGCAAAAGCACATTTTTCTTAACATTTATTCCTCTTTTAAAAGTCAAACAATGTTCCTTCATGTTGAACAGTTACAACATATGCATCATGAAACATAGACTCTATAAATTGTATCAATTTACTTATATTGCGGCTGACAAAAACATCATGTCCAACCCTCTCACAGAACATGAAATATATATATGTACAAACATGCAGACACTATTTGCCACATTATGTTAATCAAATGATTGTCATAATTACAACAGTTGCAAACAGTAAAAAAATAAAAGACAAATTCAAAAATATTAACTAAAGAATTCATTAAGTAAAAATGCTTGCGTAAAATAAAAATGAAAACTAAAAAGAAAACATTTTATAGTATATGCATGCAATTTATACAAGCCATATAAATCGTTTAATATTAAGTAATTAAGTAATATTTAAGCGCTTTCGCTATACATTTATACCTTATGTTAACATAATTTTTGTTTTTTGCTCATTAATTAAATAAATGCATCTACATTGGACAACTTGATGGAAAATAAGGAAAAATATTTTTGAGATGGCGATCGTAAGGTCAGGTTTCCTGAAAATTATATAATTATTTTAAGACAAATTAAATAAGTAAAGACGTTTCTAATTTATGTCAGTATAATATTTCAAAACGAAAACAACATGAAGTACTGTATGCTTCTATGTATAAGTAAATGTAAGAAAGTTATGGAAATGAATATTTTTTACGGAACATTTTATAGTATTTTTTGTGTTAAATAGCAGAAACACAAAATGTTACAACTCTCTAACCGACCATCAGATTAAGGATGTCTATGATGCTAAAAGGGTCTTCAGTTGTCTATATGAATGTTTTCTTTATTTGTCTGCTTATAGCCTACATTTATAAAGGCATCTTTCTTTAACTGACTCATTTGTAAACAGGAAACAATAAATTTTACTTTTTCTCGTGTTTAATGTCACCATGGGAAACAGACTTCATGATATGAATAAACAATAGATGTTATATTCTAAAGATAAAATTTGATACAATATTTTTGAATATAATTAGAATGTTTACTACTCAAAATTGATATTGATTGGTTTTGCTGGTAACTGTTGCACGTGTTATGTTGTGTTTTAATCAATACTTATTTACATATAACATTACCTTACCCTTTACAACTAAATCTACACAAACAATTAGAATGGGTTTATCTAAATTTAAAGGTGCACACAATTCTGGAGAAAACAATGTTAATCCATAAAATTAAAAAACAAAACTGCATAAAATATTCATGAGGGATAATGGAAAAGTACAATACCCTCACGCCCCGACTTAAGAAGTATTCCGTCTTTAACACAATGTGCTGAAATAAATTATCCCGAACGACAAGAAAAATATGACAGCAGAGTTCATTTAAGATATTTAGTGCGGAAAGGGTTAACCTTGTATCAAACAAAAACAAAGCATGTTAAGCACAGACGTGTAACTTGAACATAGCTTTTTGTTTCGCATACCTCCAGATGAACCAATATGTTC